GCCAATCACGATGTCTTTAATGGTATTCACTAGCATTCGTCACGTGACAAACGATGGTTGTCCTTACTTGATAAATTTCTGGTAGGTCGCTTGGGGCTCATTAGCACAGTCTCTGTTATGGATTTGGGCTAAGCACTGGATTCCAATGACCTCGTGCATTCCTCTTCTTGAAGTGTTATCTTTCTTTATCACTAGTTTGGTCTTTTGTGCGCCCATTTTTTATTGTAATCAATATGTTTTACTACTACTGTTATGAATGCACTCCAGTTGTTAAAGCCCTAATTAGCTCAACGTGAACTTATCGCAAACAATTAAACATCATGTACTTTTTTTCAAAAAGATCGAAATTCAAAACTTAAAATGAATTTATAACGATTTTAAGACATTATCTTTAGACAACAAACACCAAAAAATATTTGAATTTCGTTTTTGTTTTTAAATAATTTCTCAAAAATCACATTTCAAATATTTGCTTTAATGACTCGTCAATCTAACTAGATATTAAGCGAACTTTTCCATCTTTCTTTAAACTGGCTTATAACGGTTTTGTTGTCTCAATTATGTTATATTTTCCATAGTCGCTACACTGCGATCTGGTGGTGTTTGGAGCTTAGGTATAAATATAGATTTGTTTTGTTTTTAGAACTAATGTGAGTTACTCTGAAATGAGTAAGATATGTAAGAAACTCTGGTGACATTCTCCGAATATTCATTTTCTTCAGGTAAGGTCAACGAGGAGTTTGAAAAACCAAGAGTTGGTACATGTTGTTATTGTCATCCTTCAACATCAATCGGACTCCTTCTCTTTGTTAACAGCCGATGTTACTAGTGTTTGTGAAAAGTAGGTTTTGATTCTCACAAAAGACGGTGGTTAGAATCGTTGGTCGTGATTTCATTAACCAATCTTTTGATTATGACGTTACGTTATGATGATTTGCGCCGTCGTCTTTCATTATGTCATCATGGTTCATGATCAATTGTTTCTCAGATTGGAAACAGGAATCATATAGTTTCAAATTATGAATATTGTTCTGAATATTTAGGCCTCAAACATTTAATTCCTGGTTATCAAGTTATCTATAGTTGATTTTCAAATTGAAGAAAAAAAATTCAAAAACATTGGTGAATCTTATGTTTAAATACAAATTGAACACTAGCTTAATCGAGATAGAAAACCATGAAAACCAAGCAACCGTTTTCTGGAAGTTTTGAAAAGATGGAAAATAATAACTAACTATATCACAACAATAATCAGCTGGTAGAATGAGCCCCTGTAGGTGAAACAGGTTGGCCCGTGTAGGAAATTGATAACATTATATGTATATATTTACATTTGCATGGCATTGTCACTATATAGCCTCTTTGAAAGCAGTGTCGTTGATGGGACTTTAATTACCATGCAGCACGAGACACAATTCTTAGCGTATTAATACAACACTGACCGGAACTACAATATCCAATATAAATAAACATGACGGCTGCTGAAATATCGCTGGGCATTGTGAGATTTGATAATGGCATTGTAAATTTATGTGCAAAATAAAAAATAAAATAAAAAACACTTTTATCACGCGTCTCGCATCTACGGTTCCTCAGTTTAATTCTGACGACAGGTCAAATAACAAGGCTGTTATAGAATCTACCGACTGTTGTCAGGTCCCCATACAATCAACAAATAAATTCACGCCTGGATTCTTCACAAAATGAGCAAAGAGAAAAGTTCGAATAAACCTCCAAAAATAACTCCCTCGTGTAGGGAAAGGACGGATTTACGTTGTTCACTGTATTTGTCCATGCGCGAAATTTGTTCCGGGAGAAAATCGAAACAATTTAAAATCTAACTTTCAGCTCAGAGTTCTATTGATAAACTTAAATCACCCTATATACATATCATACGCAATTGTATTGATACTGTATTGTGGAATAAACTTGAAATGGTTGTTAAAATTTCAAAGTACTACTTTGTTTGCCAATCAGCACGCGACAATACGCTGTTCAAACTATTGAACGAAATTGTGTGGACTGTCGATAAGGCGGGCATTTGTAATTTTAAATATAAATTATAAGTTAAAAAAGAACATAAGAGGCAGAGAAAACGTAAATATAAGTATTGAACTGCTAGTGGATTATGTTGTTTGCTTGCAAAGCTGTGTCATTCAAATAGATCATAAATACCATACAAAAATAGTTCAATGCTTAAATATACAGTAATATAATTGATCTGTCAGGACTCATGCAGTTCTAACTTCCTCCCAACCCAATGAATCGCTACAGGCACTGGGCTGTTGGTAAAGAGGATACATCAAAAGACACAAGCTTTTAACCTGGAGTACCTGTAAAGAATTTGACCTTAACTTCAAAGTGTTCACAGTTATGTGGCATGTGCTATGTTTGGTCGCAAGATGGAAAATACTGAGAAATGATTGACAGGATATATATCAAAGAAATGTACTTCTAAAGGCAATATAGCAGGTCATCTAAAGACCCTTCACCTAATTAAGGAAAACACGTTCTGGCTAGGGTACATTATCCAAAACAATGACTGAAGCACAAATTGTATACAATCGGGGATACAGCAGGAATGTTCAGCACTAGGTTCAAAGAACATAACGACACCAGAGGAAATTGTTTAACAGCTAAGCAACAATAAAGTTGTCAACACTGTCCAATGAGTACCCAAAATATGCAAACTCAGTAGTTGCGATTCACCAATATAGATTTGGCAAGATATCAAAAGGGACCACGTGTAACGTCAAACTCAATTTGGAACATAAGTGACAACGACGTGAATCAAAACAGTACAAACGTGAAAACGTTACGTTATCATTCCATATGTAAATAATCATTAAATGATTTACAATTTGCAGCATACATTTTGGTACGTTTGATACAACGTGATGATTTACTTTTACGTCATAGCTGTAGACATATCGGTATATCTTTTGCTATACATGTTTAGGTATGGGTGCGGTTTTAACTGGGGAAATTCATGTTCAGATTGGCTTTAAACTAGATGAAAAACTCCCACATACTTTTTTTTGATTAAGCTCTGTTATCAATCGTATCGTTGATATCGTATTACAGCGATCATAAAACAGAATGTAACGTCGACTGAAAAGACAGCAAAATATGTACCACGACACCACCCCAAAAGAACAAAGTATAAGATATCATCTGTACATAACGACAAAAAAGGCAATAACTTTAATAAATAATGTCAACATATACCGTCGCGTCTACAGGAAAAAAAAGACAAAAAATATACTACAACATCAACACACAAGGACTTCATCAAAAAAGGCGAATTATACCACAACGTAAACAGACAAGGACAACACGTACACGTACCATAACCTTAATGAACGGGGAAACTATACCATAGTGTCAACAGACAAGGACAACACGTACCATAACCATAACAAACCGGAAAAATATACCATAGCGTCAACAGACAAGGACAACACGTACCATAACCTTAATAAACCGGGAAAATATACCATAGTGTCAACAGACAAGGACAACACGTACCATAACCTTAATAAACCGGGGAAATATACCATAGCGTCAACAGACAAGGACAACACGTACCATACCCTTAATAAACCGGGAAAATATACCATAGTGTCAACAGACAATGACAACACGTACCATAACCTTAATAAACCGGGAAAATATACCATAGCGTCAACAGACAAGGAAAACACGTACCATAACCTTAATAAACCGGGAAAATATACCATAGTGTCAACAGACAATGACAACACGTACCATAACCTTAATAAACCGGGAAAATATACCATAGCGTCAACAAAAAACGCAAATGGAACACGAATTCGACACAAAAATAACAATGAAACCAGAAGAATCAAAATAAAAGGTAAAACATATGCAAATTGCAGTAGACTAATTGTTGAATGTACCATGACTTTTTGTGGTTTCACATAGCCACAACCATGTTGAGTAAATGTATGTTTCTCAAAAGCTTGTAAAAGAAGAGGAAACCTTCGCATTAAATAGATATAGAGCTATAAATTGTTGAAACAGAGGGGCAGGTGATTAAAACCCCAGTACTTATGAAAATAAAAATATTGAGGAGTACTTGTCAATTTCAAATTCGATAATCTGTAAAGTGTGTATATCTTAATCATCCGCGCCTTTCCTCAGCAGAGATAACTGAGGCCAGCAAGGTTGTAGAAACCTCGGGAACTAAATATTCCATCATCATAGTCTGCCATCTTGGAAGATGAACGTTACACACACTTATATATATATAAACATGTGATTGCACGTTCAAATTTTGGGATTAGATACATAATGTCAAAAATGAATAACACTTCATCATAGATCTGCTTCGTCCTTACCGATGAGTCATAGAATGCCAAAAATGAATAACACTTCATCATACATCTGATTCGTCCTTCTAGGACTCATCGGTGATGCTAGGGGCCACAAAATTGGAAAAACAATTTGTCTTATTTACTCTTAAAACAGATAAACTTTGGATAACATGTCATCATTTCGTAGCACTCGATGAAGCCGCAACAAAGAATGACATGCCATAATTCCGGTATAAACTATTTTTATGATGACATCGGTCTTACTGTCTTATCATAGACCGAATTAACATCTCAGTTTACCATTTAATAACTAAGGAAAAGTTTAAATATATTCGGTATCTGAATTCATTTGTTTAATTTTGGCTTTAAATTAATTTTTTTCGAGGCTTGCTAAACGTTGAGTTACAGACGTTCTAAATAAAAAAATAATGCAAAGGCAAAAGCAACATTGAAGATGAGCTTTAATTACATAATCTATAAGAAAAATCCTGTGCTTCGGAGAATATTCATCTGATGAGAATGCTGTTTTCACGTCCTATTTCCAATACCGGTCATATGCATGCGTAAAGGCTCGAGAAGTATAGGACCAACTCGCTTCATTTCGCAAGAAGCACAGTTGATGTTCTGAATAATATGAATATTCACATATAAGTAACAACAAAATTAAATATGAAAATAATTTAATTCAAATCACACATTTAAATACTAAACAATGAACTATACATTTGAACAATACAAATTCAATAATCACAAAATGAAATTCTAAAACTTGAACAAATTAAGCTATATCATTATTCACAAAAGTGTATAATGTAAATACCAAAGAATGTGCAATTATGATACACGAAAAATGTATATTATAATACACAAAATGTATTCATTTCAATGCATATACGTCTGGTTTTCAAAAATGTGCTATTTAGTGTATTTATGTAAGCAAATTATTGTCTTTTTAAAACACGTATCACTGTTTTAGCTATTTGAGGAAAGCCATATTTTTCACAAATGTTGAGAAACGTGATATATACGTAACGTTACAATGATATCGCCAATTGTACAGTGAAAAACAGGAATGGTCATAGTAACAATTCAACGTTTCTTTCATTACCACTTTGTGTTTCTTCACTGAAGAAGCATTGACTAAAAATGCAAGGCGTTTGAAAATATTTAAATGTTTTCTACGTGTTGGTAACAACCCCGACGGCAAATCAGTGTATCAACGTCACGTAACTATGTTTTCCATGTAACTTCATAATTCAAGGCAGCTGTTCCGAGATTGGCAACAGAAATCATGTATTTTGGAGAGGAACTAATGGTTTTCCAGATATATATGAACGCTATGGGAGAAAAAAAGCCACAAAACCTTCGATGGCTGGTTACAATAATCTAACTTTCATAAGTTAATAATTGCATTAAAAGAAACACTTGAAAAACATTTGTCTAAATACATTGTTTTTTCAACAAACTCCATATAAATATCCACCACATGTTGAGAGCCTCTATTTCTCGAAGGGCAGGGATGTTTGTGGAAACTATTTGGCAGTTTTTCTCCGGTTTTGTTCGTCTAAAGCTTCTTTTAATGAGATCTGTGATTCAAGAAGATATTTATATCTAAATGATTATGACCAAACAATAATGTTTGGTTCAGAAAATAGACAATTTCAACTAGAATATAGGAGAAACAAATGACACAATTTTACTATGTGTTATACAAGGAACCTTTGACGTTAAAGTTTAATAACGATCGATAAGCATTTCTCAACAATATGACTTTTTTTTGTGTTTAGTATTTTTTTTAAAGAATTATCGTTTAAAATAAAGACGTATTACGTCAATTAGCAAGCTTTAGCTATATCATCCCTGTCCTAACCGTAGAAGAACGATTTCGAGAACAGACAATTTTCTGTTGTAAAAACAAAGCATTCCTTTAGAACGACATTAGTTATGGAAATGTAAAAGCAAGTGAAAGAAATGTTAACAAAACAGAAGGAAATACAAATTTCAATATTCAAATATATCTGTTAGTGTCTTCAAACTAAAAATGATACATTCTCCTAACACCACGAGGATGTCAGATAAGACGAAGTTATTAGGAATTTCTCTGATCTCAAACATATGTTAACAAACACACATCATAGGGGTTAGAAATTGTTCTTTTAATAAAATAGGGGAATTATAATTATGAAATAAGGGAATTATAATAAAAAAATAAGGGAATTATAATTATAAAATAACCCTTTCTCACTACCATACCCTCCTTAATAGACGTTACTCTTTTTTTGCTCTGATGGTAGACAACACTCACAACAGCAGGACAAAATTGCATTTTCATAGTCCTAGGTCTTTTGATCAAGGGCACCGCCATACGTTTCTCCCAATGGACATGCTACTTCCGGTCAGAAATAACAAGTACTTGTATTTACTTCCCGTTGTATGCGGCGCATCTCGAGCAACAGTTGGTATGGAAGTTCCTAGATATGGCGCAGCACTGACAGGGGAAAAGACGAGTATGGCGGACATATCCAGCTCTTTTGTTCATGCCCTGGTACACACTTGCCGGCACTCTGGGCACTTCGCTTTCCTCTAAATCTTCCGTTCGTAGGTCACAGAGCTGACAAGCTTGTTTGTCAACGTAAAGATAACAGCGGTCACACACAGACAATGTGGAATCTGTATTTTCTGGTCCTAAGTTCCTGTAGTATTCTTCTCCGGGAAAGGCTTGGCAGACGATGCTCACCAGGATTACGCCAATAGCCAAACTAGATATTACACTCTGTATGCTCAACATGTTGATTTGAATTAGTGTTCTGACTGATCTGAAATGAGAAAAACACGTTTATTAAACCTTAATTGGAACACAGTTGTACTATTTTGAAGAAGAAATGTTTTTAACCGAAATTATTCGTGATAAATATGATGTTTGTAGTTGTGTTCTGGTGTAATTCTTGGATAAAAGTGTGCTATACAATGATATATAAGAAAAATAGATAAACAATATCCTTACGTAAACTTCTACTTTGTGCGGGGTCACTTACACTCAGTTCGGGTCCATAACACACTCGGTGTACTTAACAAAGGACCTGGCCCCCACCGGACTATCTCTTACAAAGTCACCCACAATGACCTTTTGACACTGGCTGTCTTCTATAGCCTGCCGCCGTGTTAAGTAAAGCTGTCCGCGTGTTAGGGAAGGATTTATCTGACTGAGTGTTCGTAACCATAGCCGTATGTTAGGATCCCTGAATGAACTCATGTTTTGTGTAGCTTATCGTTCTATTAAAGAGTAAAATAGCACAGTATGTTCTTTTATTTTTAATGATGTATGTGGTTGTTGCTGTTTGTGATTGAACAAAAATGCAATACACATACTTCTTCTTAAGAGCAATTTGATTGTTATTAGGTATCAGACCTTTGGACTGTTGATTAACTAGAGGATTATTGGCTGTAATTACGTCCTATTCTTCCACTGTCAATTTTCAGTGATCAACTCACTTTGACACAAAAACATGTTATTGACAATATGAATTATTAGCGAGAATAAACTGTGGTGACCTTTCAGTGCCCTGAGCAATAATAATTACAACAAACAGCGGCGTTGGAGATGTTTAATTACGATTTGTGTAATTTATCAATAAATGCTACCAGAAGTACAAGATGTGGACCTTATGCGGATATCTTGTAGCAAAGATGCAATGAAATAAAATACTATATCCGTAATATCATGGTCATTACCCCTCCCTTTATTATGCGAAAAAAAGGATATTTTTATCTACCAAACTAATAATCAAAACATCTGTATCATTTTACTGAGTATTAACGAATAAAAACTATTGCATCATAGCGTACTACATTTGTATAAAAAATATTACGATTGATGAACAAAACATTTGTATTATATTATAACGCGATTGCATAATAGTAAGTTGCATACACAAAACAAAGGTATTTGTTATTCTGCGTTATTCAATTCTGTATGACTTATGAACAAAACATTTATATCATATTTCCACCAAGGTTTTATAGAACAATGTTTACATTAGAAATATTATATTTCAATTTATACCATTGCCTTTTCATAATTATTTGACATTGTATTTAGCAGGCTTTTTGAGCTATGCCCCAAGTTATCTCTTTCTCGCCGAGTCATACAAAATATCCATATATATTAAGATGAAATATCAATACTTTTGGGGCTCAGTATTCAGTTTTATGTGCGTAGCTTAACTGACGTTATATGAATGATTTTCTAAAAATACATATGTAGATTGGGATTTTTGAAGCATTTTTTTCAAATTTGTTTGTGCTTTTTTGGAAAGTCTTTATGTGAACAATAAAATAATCAGATGAATATTATTTGAGCATTCGCCAAATGATGATCTCATGAGACAGATGTATTGAATAGTAATTAGTTTTAATTACGCTAAGATACCACTATATCAACAAACGACAACAAATTGTAGCTCAGGGTCAAAACACACCGACCAAACATACCAAAGCGTTATCCCTTAATGACAATATATATCACAGTGGCAACAACAAGATAACATTAATTACATACTGCTTCAACACCATAGGACAAAATATACCAAAGCGTCATCCCATAACGACAAAATGAGAACTCAAAGTCGTAATTCCTGCACAAACGAAATATAGTTTTACACTGCACTCATCAACTAAATTATAAAGCAACCTAATGCAATTACAAGACAGCGTGACATTATATTTGCAATTGACACCCGCAATCTTCTCAGCTTACATTTCGACGTCTGGTAAAGACAGCACGTGATTTAGTTCTGGACATGTCCTTCAGGCCGTGACTTATATATATATATAACCCAGTAGTATACATGCCAAAAGTGTCTGTTAGATTGACAATGCCGGGTTCAACTCGTGTCATGTCTTATATACCAGATGATTGAAAAGTATTTGTGACATTTGAAATTGTGTCAAGCACATACGTCTCCCTGTCAATGGGTATGATTACAATGGCAACAGGTGTACATTTGTATGTTATATTGGCGATGATGCTGCTTAAGTACATAATATCCATTGCTTGCTATCGTTAATGCTTTTTATATCGTATATGTTTTTTTGTTCGAAAGTACTTTATATCAGTTAAGTTCGAGAATAGAAATAAAGGGATATCAATCCATTTTAAATGAGTCTGAGGCATTTTAGATGTTTAATCTTCTCCACTCCCTACATTCACCGCTACTGCCAATGACGGGCGTGTTTAAATCAGTACAAATAAAACCAAATAAACAACAACACCTACACCAATGCAAAGCTTATATAGTATATGGCTCTAACTGTATCGTACCTCTATTTTATTGGATCTGGAAGGACTAGTTAAGGACCGAGAGCCAAACTTATACAGAACGAAGTCCGTCAAACTTTTGTCAAATACTGTGCCTATTTTTCCCGCTTTATATTTTGAATCAATTGCTGTTATATTTGTGATGAATATTTGTGCACCAAATATATTTATCATATGAGTTTAAATAATGACTGCTATAAAGCTCTCTAAAATGAAATTGATTTGGAGAGATGTTTCTTATTTGGGAATTACATCACAATTTGTAAAATACGATGGAGAATTTCTATATCTACGATTATATAATAAAGACGATTTCTTTAATATCCACTAAAAAAAATTGCAACTCTACAATGTTCAATGACGGTCACCATCTTGCAGTTTTCCAAAATATTCCTCTCCAATGAACTGGAAATTGGCGTACCCACAAACTGCAACTCCACGGGAAAAATAATTCCTGGAGAAAGCAATAGTTTACTGGTTATTGTCTTTGCAGCTTTTCATATAGCTTTTTCCAGACGTCATATTTTAACATCATTACTTCGGTTCATGTACAAATATTGTACCTTGACATATTACCTAATAAAAGTAATGCAATATAAAGCATATATTTATCGTTGTACGTTTTTCGTAATTAACTATCAGTGCTTTATCCTATCTATTAACCATAGTGATGATGAGATGATGAAGATGATGATGTACGGATGATGATGATATATGGATGATGATGAATTGATATATGGAACACTAGTGATGCTGATGATGGAATAATGATTATAGTGATGCTGTTGATGATGATGATGATGATGATGATGATGATGCTGGAATGAATTTCATTTTTTCAACGTGTGTGAATGTGTGTATGTATTAACACAGGAGTACAGCAATTATTACCCTCTTTGTTCTTGCATTAATACGCATTGTGTTTACCTAATACAACTTACATGTAATAGAAGCGAGCATCAGAGTAATATTACAGGGACAATGATTATCTTAAATTAGAGAAACCGTGTCTCATTTTAAGTTTATTATATTAAAATTCCCGCTACAATGTAAAAGTTCTAAAATCAACACTACAAGAAGAATTTTTGTGCTGATATGAACATGAATCAGTTAACTGAATCGCCGAAATATAAGCAAGATTTTGCAGTACCTAATATAGGTACAAAACTACAAACAACCTGGATTTAAGAAAACCTGAAAATCAACAAATTCGTCATTAACTTTCAAAATCGATAGCAATAGGACAAGAAATGAACAAAGGAAATATTCACAAATTTACATTTCCTGAATTTGGATTCAATATACCTATATAACTATTTTAAAGGTTTTTTTTCAATGAACTTTCCAATAAGCGTTTTAATCTGTTATTTAGCTGAGTGTGGGAAGTAGTTCTATTAATACATTGTTTTCATTTTCATTTTTTTTTTACATCCTAAATTGTTTTTTCGTTGTTATCAATGCAAACAATGTATTTATCTTAACGGGACAACATCTTACAGTGAGTGATGACGTCATTAGCTTCGGTACCTTTCGGGGTGTTAGACTTGCACCAGACCGATATTTTAGGAAAAAAATATCAATATCGCACTGAATGTAAATATAAGGATAGAATCATGTCTTGTTGAGGTTTATGGGGTATAAACCTCAATGGGTCTTGAGACAAAACTGCGGTGCAGTTCATATTGAATTTTTCTCAAGACACATTGAGGATAATACGCCATAGCGTCAACAAAACAGGATTTAATCCTTCATATGGAGGGAAAAGCATACTTATCAGTGAGAGCCTGATAGTGATAAACTTTGCACTTAGCTTCCATCAACCTTAATCTGTCAAACCGCTCAAATAAAGGTATAGACTTGAAAGAACCTCACCTGACTTAAATCTAGTTTTGACAGAGTCAACGTTATATAAAACATAGACTCGACAGAACTGAGCTGGAAAGAAACTCAACTCATAAATCAGAAATGGATTATAGAAATAGATCAAATCGCAGTAGGCTTAGCTCGATATATGAAGTACCTTATACGTAACAGGGTTGTGCGATCGCGTATATTCAAAAATCATTTGAAAGTGGTTATAGTTATTTTATGTTTTCTCTAAAAATAAATAAAGCCAAAAATGCAACACAGACCTTTAATTCAGTGTTTGTTTTGCGTGTTGTCTTTTTGCTTTGTCTATAATGCTTCTCATCTGCATGTCATGCGTGAGAGCAATGATGGAATATATTTCCCTTTCTGATTTCAGCGGGTGACAACACACACAGTCGACAGGTAGCAATGATAATTTGAAATATACAGTGCACTTATTTGGCTATTTCTTTCGCTGATCTCATGGTTTTAGAATATTAAGTGGCATATACGAATGTTTAGTTTATAGTATCGATCGCGGCCCTATACATTGAGAAGCATGGGAATTAGAAAAGGAATCAATATTTTGCGTGACATATATATGATTTACTGCTGGGCGTATGCAAGAATTATATCTTATTACGTGCACTT